AGGAGCACATGGAACTCTTATGGTGCCATATCATCGCTTTGTCCCATTGCTGGGTTGTAAGTTGTCTTCCAAGTTGGTTCTCCCATTGACATTTGAATGTGGTGGCTGTAGGTGTGCCGCCGATCACCGGATGTTGGTAAAGAGCCAAAATAGCGTGTTCAATAGGCGTGCCTTGCTCGCAGAGGGTTTCAAACCATGTGAGGTCTCTATGTAAGAGGTCCTTGTGTAATAGAGTGTCATAGAAATGTTTCAGTTGCAGGTATCTGAGTAGTGAGAGAGGAGTTTGTGGTCCCTCTCCCAGTAATGAGGTTAAATCTCGCAGTTTCCCATCCGCCAGGGCCTTATATATGGGAATATATGTTCCGGTACTTGGGATGGGCCACGCACCGGAGGGGAGTCCACCCCCTATGGCCTCGTTATGCGTGATCGGCATCATCGGGCTGGGCGTGGGTGATATATGTGTCTGTAGCCTGAGTACCTTCCAAGTGTGTAGGGTCTGTAGGACCAGCCCCTCATCGTCGCTATGGTTTGTTCGACCTCCAGTTTTACCCCAGACCTGTGCCTCAAGTGTTGGTCCGATGAGATCCCTGTCGAGTTTCACCCATTGTTTGGCCGTCGGTTCCAGGTGCCAGTCTAGTATACGTTGCATGACCGTGGCTTGGTGATATTTCTGAAAGTCCGGCACCGCCAGCCAGCGTAATTTTTTGGACGGCACAGTATGTCATGCCGGATCCTTGCTCATTACCCATGCCACACATATCTGCTTACTGCCGTTTTCAGGGCGGAAAAAAAGGTCGCTGGTATAGCGAGTGGTATGGTCTGCATTAGATACAGAATCCGCGGGAGGATATTCATCTTAATCACAGCGATTCTTCCGTGCCAGGTCACATGTGGGTACGACCATTTGTATAAGTCTGCGAGAACAGACTTCAATAGGGGTGTAAAATTATGTCGCAATATATCTCTTGGGTTCGTGGTCACCCATACGCCTAGGTATTTCATCCTGCCGTGGCACCAGTGGAACGCAAATTGTGATTCCAATGATAGGAATTCCTCTGTGGGAAGTGTGATGTTCAGGACCTCGCATTTTGAGATGTTAAGTTTAAATCCAGATATCCGTCCAAATTTATCAAATTCTGAGAGGAGGCATGGCAATGTGGTCCTGGTGTTGCGAACGAAGAAGAGGAGGTCATCTGTGTAAGCAGCCACTTTATGTTGTTCTCCTTGGTCTTCGTATCCCTGTCTGGGTACAGCCGAATTGCCTACAGCAATGGCTCTAGGGTCATTGCGAAAAGCAACGGCGAGAGGGGGCAACCCTGTCGGGTGCCATTGCTAATTGCAAAATCAGCAGTCGTGGCCCCGTTGACCCTCACGGTTGGACGTGGGCTATTATACAGGGTGGATATCCATTTGAGGAGTCTTTGACCGCATCCTAGGTGTTTCAACGTTGACATCATATATGCCCAGTTGACCCGGTCAAATGCCTTTTCCGCGTCAGTGGATAGCAATAGTAACTGGGTACCTGATTTCCTCGCATGGTGTTGGATGGAGAAGAGTCGCAGGGTGCTGTCCCTGGCCTCTCGACCTGGGATGAATCCCGTCTGGTCCACATGAATCAATTCGGGGAGAAGGTGATTAAGTCTGGTTGCTAGGACTTTCGTAAATAATTTAGCATCGACGTTCAGCAGCGAGATCGGCCTGTAGCTCCCGCACTGCAACGGATCTTTCCCCGGCTTAAGTAGGACCGTAATGGTGGCTGCTAGTGATTCTGGTCCCAGAGTTCCGTCCTCCCCCACGACGTTGAGGGCCTTGGCCAGCCATGGCAGCAAGGTTCCTGAGAAGTTTTTATAGTATCCAGAGGAAAAGCCATCTGGGCCGGGCGCCTTGCCAGTTTTTGCTGCTTTAAGGGCCACTGCTAGCTCGTCTGTACTGATGGGTGTGTCCAAGTTTGAGGCGGAGTCTAGATCGATTTTGCGTGTGACTGTGTCGGACAGATAGTTCTGTATCCTAGTATGGACGTCCGTGGTCCCAGTGTTCCCGGCTTGTGTGTGGAGATTGTAGAGATTCTCGTAGAAAACCCTAAACTCCTCCGCGATCTTCTGCGGAAAGGAGGTCACCTCCCCTGAGGCCAGACGTAATTTACGTATTTGTTTGCGGGGTGCGGGGCCTTTCAACAATCTCGCTAGGTATTTACCCCCCTTGTTATGATCTGCCAACTTAATACCATTATTTTAGTGTCAAAATTGATAAAGGAGATTGTCTATAGTTGAAGGTTCCAAAGTGTCTTGAAAGACTTTAAACTTTTTTAGGGACTCCATAAGTAGAAAAGGAGTGGCTCGAAGTGTGATAATAAATGGATTGATTATAATGTTGTAAAGAAGAATGACTGGCATCCAGGGAGGTCTTCCCAGAGGTGTATTTGACCGCTGCAACTGGTTAAGAGGTTTGTTAGCCAAGACTATGTCCCCCAAACCATCACTTTTATAAAGGTAAAGCGGTGAGACCATGACATTTGATGATTATATTATTCCAAAGGAGACCTTTAACATAGAATGGGACGGCAGATAAGAACCATTTGGCCCATCTAGCCTGCCCAATATTTCAAAATACTTAAGTCTTAAGTCTAGGATAGCCTTATGCCTATCCCACGCATGCTTAAACTCTCTCACTGTGTTAACCTCTACCACTTCAGCTGGAAGGCTATTCCATGCATCCACTACCCTCTCAGTAAAGTAATACTTCCTGAAATAATTTTTTAAGCTGAAATCTCTTATGCTAAAATCTAATGGTTCTCAACTTGTCCAAGGACCTAGGGGTTAAGTCAGTTTGATACCTGGATTCTGCATTTTAGAGAGATTTCTGAAAATCAATTATAGCTCAGGATTTAACTTTCTTTTTCTGAGCAGCAATTTTTTTTATCAGATGACTCTTGACTACCACTTTATGAGCAGACCAGACAATGCACCCAGTAACATCAGGGGCATCAATATTGGTAAAATAGATCTGTCTAGCTTAACTAGCATCACCCACTACCTCTTGGTCCTTCAATAATGCTGTATTAAGACACAAGAACCAGACAGCAGAGGACAATAATACCTAAAATAAATATGTCCATATGATTCATCCAGGATATACAGTGCCTTGCAAAAGTATTCACTCCCCTTGGCATTTTCCGTGTTTTGTTGCCTCACAACCTGGAATTAACATGGATTGTTTGCGGATTTGCATCATTTAATTTACAGAACATGCCTACAACTCTGAAGATTATTATTTTTTTTTATTGTGAAGCAAACAACAAATAGGACAAAATAACAGAAATGGTCAATGTGCATAACTATTCACCCCCCTAAAGTCAATACTTTGTAGAGCCTTTGCAGCAACCACAGCTCCAAGTCGCTTTGGATAAGTCTCTATGAGCTTGCCACATCTTACCACTGGGATTTTAGTCGCATCAGACCAGAGCACTTTCCTCCATACATTTTGGAAGTCTCCCTCGTGCCTTTTTGCAAACTCAAAACGTGCCATTTTGTTTTTTTGCTGTAAGTAATGGCTTTCTATTGGCCACTCTGCCATAAAGCCCAACTCTATGGAGCATATGGCTTATTGTCGTCCTATGTACAGATACTCCAGTCTCTGCTGTGGAACTCTGCAGCTCCTCCAGGGTTACCTTAGGTCTTTGTGCTGCCTCTCTGATTAATGCCCTCCTTGCCCGGTCCGTGAGTTTTGGTGGGTGGCCGTCTTTTTGGCAGGTTTGCTGTTGTGCCATGTTCTTTCCATTTGGTTATGATAGATTTGATGGTGCTCCTGGGGATCATCAAAGACTTGGATAATTTTTTATAACCCAACCCTGACTTGTACTTCTCAACAACATTGTCCTTTACTTGTTTGGAGAGTTCCTTGGTCTTCATGGCAGTGTTTGGTTAGTGGTGCCTCTTGCTTAGGTGCAGGGCCGGTGCAAGGAATTTTGTCTACACAGGCGAAGGAGCATTTTGCCGCCCCTCCCCACCCCACATTTTTCTTGCAGTTTCTAAAATGTTTTAGAGGTGTGACAAAACACTAGATTGTAAAGATATTTAGATAGATACACACATGCACACTTTTTTTTTTTAAGAGATAAAGCCATTTGACACTAGAGATGTCCTTAGAAGCAAATGTAAACTCTGCCTTTTCTTATGAAAGGCAATATTTACATCTGTCAGACTCCAGGGACAAGCTCTTTTCACCAAAACCACTCCATTACATTATAGTTATGTTATATATTTAACATGTGTTTTTTTTTTTTGTTTTTTTGTTTTTTTGAGAAAAATAAGAACAAATTTGTGTTTTTGTAAAGTGTATTTTATTAACATTTATTCAACAAAACAAAACCAAAAATAAATAACAATGCATTCAAGTGCATGTAAACAGCAGTAACTATTACTCAAACTGCATGACATAGTGCAATTAGTATCGAGGTGCTTTAAAATTAACATATATAATTACTATAAAAACTTTTATATAATGAATAAAACTGTACGCTGTAGGTTTCTGCAAGTGCAAATTCACCTAAAGTGTAAAGTGCTTTAACAGATATTGCACACAAACAAAGTGAGAATGGTAGCCTACAAAAACGTAACCCTTCTTGCTTTCGCATTTACAAAATCATGAAGCAAAGTTTTAAAGTCAATCTCTTTTGCAATCTGATTTTCAATGGAAATCATTGCAAGTCCCACCAATCTCTCTTGAGACATAGAGGACCGAAGATAATTCTTTATTAACTTCAGCTTTGAAAAGCTTCACTCCCCAGAGGCTACAGATATCGGCAATGTCAACAAAATGCTAAGGGCAATAGACACATTGGGAGCAAAGCCATTTTTAAGTGCATACACTAGAATTTGACTGGGTGTCATTGTAGGCCTCAAGATAGGAGCCAATATTGTAAGTTCCTCACAAAGTTGTGCTCCATCCAGATCAGCATCTCCTGATTTATCATCAGTCAAAATATTCTGCAAGTCTATACACTACTCCATAACTGCTTCCCTTGGTACATCTTTAAGTTTTTGTATATTATAAAGAAACTGGAAGTGCTTGCTGTGGTGCTTAATTTGCTCAAATCTCTCATCAAGAAAATTGATACACATATCCAAAATGCTGTAAAAGCACTCAATTTTAAAAAAATTTGCAGGATCACAAATCGGATCATCCGGTGCTTCATAACAAAACAACCTCTTTTTTTTTTTAATTTGTCGCACAAAAGGAGGAAACACAGGATCTATTTCCATTTCTAATGATAGGTTTTTTGCCTCTTCCAGTAAATCTTCAAACCCTTTATCAGAACGATAATTCTCCAAAAAAGTGGTTGTGGATTTCAGGATATCTACAACATCTGGAAGATACATACTTCTACTTTGTTTGCTAACAAAGTTTATTCTATTTAAGATGTTGTACCACAACACAATAAGACACAAAAATGTAAAGTTATTCAGTTCTTTTGAAAGACATTCAGCATCAGACTGTGCCATTGCCGTGTGAGAGTTCTCTCTCAAAATTTCAGAGAGTGAATCAAAAATTTCTCCAACCTGGAACCTAAATGGACGAATAGCATCTATTCTTGAAGGCCATCTGGTGTCAGACAAAGGTTTTAGCGTAAGTCTGCCAATGTGCTTCTTCAAGACATTCCACCGAACTGTGGATCCTGACAAAAACACATAGATTTTCTGTACAATAGAAAAGAAGGATGCAGCATCCCAGCATGACATGGCTGCATCATTCACAACAAGATTTAATGTATGAGCGCTGCAGGGAATATAAAAGGCACGCGGGTTTAAATCCAGGATTCTTTTCTGAACACTTTGGTGTTTGCCCTTCAAATTGGATCCATTATCGTATCCTTGTCCTCTCATATCACCAACTGGGATCTTAAGTTTTTCAAGTTCAGACAAAATTGCCTCAGTTAAACCTTCTCCAGTTGAACTTAGGATTTGGATGAAACCTAGAAATTTTTCATCTATACAGAGCTCTGGTTCAGCAGTTGGAGACTCGCCTTCCTTGATGGACACAAATCGAACAATTATAGTCATTTGTTCAATTAAAGTAATGTCTGGTGTGCAATCAAGTATTATAGAATAATACTTTGCATTTTTCAACAACTGCAGAATGTGTTTTGTGATTTCTTTCGCTATAAGGCTGATGAGTTTGTTTTGAATGTCTTTCCCCAAATAATGTTGGAAAATTTCCTTATTTTTTATTCTTTTCAGATGTTCCTGCATAACGGTGTTGAATGTGGCCAGCATTTCCACAAGTTGCAGATAATTCCCATTATTTTCACTGTATAATGTATCTCTGCTACCTCGGAAAGCCAAGCACTGGCGACCAAGATATTTTACTATGCCTATAAGGCGCTTAACAACATCTTGCCAATGTTGTGTTTCAGTTGCCAACAATCTCTGGGAAGCTACATCTATCGTTTTTCCACGACCAAATCTTCTCGAGAGTTCATTCCAGTCTCTTACAGCGACAAGAGAGTTAGACTTTTCATGAATGGAAAGATTTTGAGATAAGTTTTTCCAGTCATTATAACCTCCACGTGTCAAACTTGTAGTGACTTTAGTTGCAAATAGCTTACAACAAAAACAAAATACTTTCAATACTGTTCAACTTGACAGAATAAACTAGCCAGTTTCTAAAGGTTTCTTCTCCGTTTGGCAGCCGTCGCTTGTAATTTGCTTTAGTGAAACGTCTATTCGCTGCATCTTTGGGGAAACTGAACACACACACCTATTTTGTCATACACTCACAAATTATTATTTATTTTTTGATTTAAGCACACCCAGCCTCCCTACCTTTGGGAGAAAAAAAGAAGATAATAGGCGCTCGCTATAGTGAACAGGCAGCAGTATATACACAAGGATTCCCAAACCTTGTAAGTGAATAGTGGAAAAAAGAGAAACGTATACCGCGCCTAATTTATATATGTGAAATATACATACATATATCTTGAATATTTAAAAGATACAATAGATCTTCTGAAGAAATTACAAACTATCAGTTGGGAAAAGGACTATATATTGATTACATGTGACGTACAATCGCTGTATACGATAATCAAACATGATAAAGGATGTCAGGCTATCAGATCCATTTTAGAACAAGATGATTCTATGCTCCAAGAACAGAAAGATTTTATTATTGACGGCATAGATCTAATTTTAAAACACAATTATTTTTGGTTCAAAGATAGTTTTTATTTACAGAAAACTGGGACAGCTATGGACACTAGGTTCGCACCCAGCTATGCCAACCTCTATATGGCTGAATGGGAAGATCGGTCTGTGTGGAGGGGACATGGCTGGGTGCAGAACCTGTTTTTTTATTCTCGTTATATAGACGACCTCCTATTCATTTGGAAAAGACCTATTAGTTCAGCTAAAGATTTTATTTCTTTTTTAAATAATAATGATGAAGGTATAATTTTAACAGCGGATTTTAGTAGTACTATGGTTACGTATCTGGATCTTAATATATATATTGAAAATAATACAATACAAACTAAAACACATTTCAAAGAAGTAAATGTAAACAACTATATAAGTACTAAAAGTTGTCACAACAAGATATGGTTGGACAGTATACCTAAAAGTCAGATGATGCGTCTCAGAAGAAACTGCTCTGATGAAGCTGTGTTTCTAAAGCAAGCTAACATACTAAGAGAAAGTTTCATACAAAAAGGTTATGATGCTAACCATATCGATTCAACCATTAATCAAACAGTCACAATTAATAGAAATCAACTTATACATAAAACCAAAGGTTCAGAGAATCAGAAGAATCGTGACTTTACTCTACCTATTGTACTAGACTATAATAATAAAAACAGACAACTGAAAAAAAATTTAATAAAACATTGGCATCTATTAAAGGAAGATGAAATTTTAGGAAAAATTATCCCTGATAAACCAAAAGTAATTTTTAGAGGAGCCCCTAACCTTAAAATGCATCTAACAAAATTTTTTACAAGAAATAGCCCTAATAGAATTAATGATTTTATGGACAAAAAGGGTTTCTACAAATGTAATTGCTGTATGGCGTGTAAAAAGACAAAAACTACTAAAAGAATGATCACTGATTTTAAATCAAATAATACCAATAAAACATATAATATAAAAGAGGTCATTACATGCAACAGCAAAAATGTGATCTATTTATTGGAATGTTCATGTGGTCTCCAATATGTAGGGAGAACGATCAGGCCACTAAAAACCAAAATCGCAGAACACTGTAGAAATATAGAAAAGGGTCTACAGAATCACTCAGTACCTGCGCACTTTTGCATGCACAATAATGATCCCAAGCACCTCACGTTTATGGGAATTAAAATAGTTAAAAATCATTGGAGAGGGGGAGATGCTATAAGAAAGATTGGACAAACTGAGATGCAGTGGGTATATCAACTTGATACCCTACACCCCAAGGGGCTGAATGTTGATTTCGACTTATACAATTTTTTATAAAAAAAAAATTTTTTTTTTTTTTTTTTTTCCTCCTTCCCTCAACATTCTTTGTCCATCCTTATAGCATGCCCCTCATCTACTCTTATTATGTTTTATGCTCTTATGGTTGTTTTTAACTTTGATCATTATGTTAAATTATTTACAATATTTATATTGTGCCATTTCTTATTTTTATTCTTATTTTTTATAGGTATTAACCTTTTTAAAGCATACATCATTATTTATATTTTAGGTATATGTATATTTCTTTCTTTTTTACATTTATATGGTTGTACACAAACTACCCTATTAGTTGTCTTCTAAATGGATGTTTGCCCTCAACAAAGATGGCCGCCGCATCACTTTCCCACTGGAACATGCCCACACCCTCTAGTATTGGAGGCTGGGACGAGTGATGCCTGAAATTTTATCTATATTACTTATTGGTGTTACATACACCTCTGGACATTTAGACATTACTATTTTTCTACATCAATTTGCACTACAGACGCCGCGATCATTTCCGGTTAGACGCGAGCACTACGTCACTTCCGGTGTGACGCGGGTGCCGCGTCACTTCCGGTATGACGCGTGCGTGTCAGCAAACAGCCGGAACCAGGAAGTAAGCACACCAGGACATTATTTCTACATTAAGGAGGATATATAAACGGACTTATCAGACATGATACCACACTTCTGAAGAAGCCAACCTGGCGAAACGCGTTAAGTGGGACTACATTTTATGTTTTATAATATTTTATTTCTATTTAGCTTGTTTATATTAAAGTATACTTTTTAAAGTTACTTTTATATCCACTCCAATTTTTTATTTTTACTTCCTGGATCCTGTATATCCTTGGTGGGGATTATACCACCCATGCTGTTTATACTAGAGCAGGATATATGCTCTAGAAATTGTAAGTACAATACTATTTAATATTGGTCATACCACTAGTACTTACTTCACCATATTGCTGCTATTTTTTCCTTTCATATTTACTACGCTCACTGCATTGTGGAAATATTCGTGGAAACTTCTACAAATCCAAAGACGGGGATTGTACCGTCCAGGCATTCTTACAGCAGAGCTCTGTTATAGCTCATCCATATGTGAGTGGATTGAACTTAGCCTTATACTATCTGCTTTAAAGAATATATTTACTGTATTGCACTATCATTTGTTTCTTAATCTGTTCCCTTTGAGGTTACGATCCGTTTGGAATATTCAAGATATATGTATGTATATTTCACATATATAAATTAGGCGCGGTATACGTTTCTCTTTTTTCCACTACCTTTGGGAGAGCTGGAGTGGATTATTTCACTAGGATGTGGTGTGGCTACTCTCTATTCTCCCTGCCCTTTCTTGCTCTGCTCCACTGCGTGCTGTTTAGTGATGCTGGGGCCGGAGTGACGTCATATTCCAGATGCATGCATCACTAACCAGCATGGGAAGAAACAGAGCAAGAACTGCAGGAAGATTACTGCTCCATGCTCCCTCGGCCAGCCGCATCTGGTGAATGGGCTAACAAACACCCAGGCGCCAGGACAAAATTCCTAGTCTAGTTCTAGGATTTGTCGAGCCCTGCACTAAGTGATGTACTATTTCCTGACATGTTTTGTGAGATAAGGTAAGTAAATAAAGGGTTTTAACCCTTTATTTAAAGCGGGGGAGGGGGAGGCAGAGGGATCAGTAGTGCCAGGAATACAGCTTTGTATTCCTGGTACTACAGTATCTCTTTAAGCAGATACAATGATTACAATGCAAAATCCTTAAACATTTACAACAATAAATACATTTTAAAAAAACTACAATTACAGACATAAATATACTAAATTAAGCCTTGCGCTCAAATTCTCACTTCTCCTGGGCAGTATCAATGACCATAGTACACATCAGCCCCAATACAGACAATAAATCACTAATCTAATTTTAACAGGCAGATGAGCTACAATACTCATCCTAAAAAACCTCCAGTTATTTAAATGTACATAAGGATTTGGAATTGTACGCAATTAGCTTTTTTTTATTATAAATTACACACACACATTTACCGCAATTTTCACAGTGGAATTAATATCTTAGCTGTGTATAAAGTACATAAACATTAAACAACCTACCCACCCTGAGAATACAGCGAACAGAGTGGCAAAGGATTAGGGATAAGGTATTACGGTGAAAGACTGACACAGGTTGGGGACAGAGTAACTAGCGGGACAGGGTATTAGTGGCATAGAGGCTAAGAGAGGCATGGGATTACTGCCCTTTGCATGTAGTGCTGCAATGTAGAACATTGCAGTTCCAGAGAACTGCAATGTTTACATTGCAGCACTAAGTCTGCCCTCAGTAGCTGTCTACCAGAAAGCCACTGGGGGCGCTTGCAGACTTTTGGTCTGTTATCTGATGCTGGACGTCCTCACGCCCTGTATGAGGACCTCCAGTGACAGATTTTTCCCCATAGGAAACCATTGATTCAATGATTTCCTATGGGGAGGTCTAATGCGCACTCGACATTTGCTGCGCATACGCATTAGACCCTGCTAGGCACAACGCTGAGATAAGGTAAGTAAATAAAGGGTTTTAACCCTTTATTTAAAGCGGGGGAGGGGGAGGCAGAGGGATCAGTAGTGCCAGGAATACAGCTTTGTATTCCTGGTACTACAGTATCTCTTTAAGCAGATACAGTGAAGCAAGACTAAACAATTAGGGACCAAGTGAAATGGGGCTTGTGGGACACAGTGACAAAGGAGTGAGAAATGGGATGCAGAGGGACATATGATAAAAGGGGATTTGGGGACAAAGTGCCAAGGAGTAGGAGCCTGTAACCCCATGTCACTCTGACCCCTTAGTGCCCTGACAGGGGGTACAGAGTACAATTCAAAAATTAAATATACATTTTTTTAAACTTACCCCCATTCAAGTGCTGACAGCCAGGTCTATAGTGAGGTGGATCTGAGGAGACTGCAGACACTCGAACACTATGGGGAGCAGTCTAGCAGAGGTCACAGTCACTGTTCTCCTTCCAGGTAAGTCTGCTGTCTCTGTCTGGACAATATGGAGCCTGGAGGCAGGGGGGAGGGGGCGGGCAGCGGAAGTCTGGCCCCCTACTCACTCTAGCATATTGCACTCTGTCGCCATACTGGAGCCCGCCTGGGCCTGTCTGCCTCCCTTCCCTCCCTGTCTTCCTCCCCTCCCCTTACCTCATTGTCACTCACTCCCTCTCTGCATACTCTGCATACACTTGTGCCGGGCGGGCTCCACTGCATGGGCGCCGCCATATTGGAGCCAGCAGGGGGAGTCCGTCCCTGCCAGCATCGGACCGCAAGGGGATTCTGGGGGAGGTGAAATTTGCGCCCCTCCTGACATCATCAGGAGGGGGCGGCAAGCACAGACTTAACCTCCGGACCGTCTGTAAAGGAGAGAGCCAGCCAGGAGAGCAAGGCAAGGGCAAGGTAGGCTGCTGCTGTATAAAAATCTGAATCCTTAGCCGGTGGCTGGGGATTTGGATTTTTGCGCCCCCCCCTGTTCTGGTGCCCTAAGGCGGCCACCTTATGGACGCGCCGGCCATGCTTAGGTGTTGCAGCCTCTGGGGCCTTTCAAAAAAGGTCTGTGTATGTAATGACAGATCATGTGACACAGGTGAAAATCATTTCACTAATTATGTGACTTCTGAAGGTAATTGGTTGCACCAGAGCTTTTTATGGGCTTCATAACAAAGGGGGTGAATACATGCCAATTTTCTGTTTTCTATTTCTAAAAAATATTTTTATATATATATATTATTCTCATTTCACTTTACCAACTTAGACTATTGTGTTCTGATCCATCAAATAAAATTCAGATTACTAAAACATTGAACTTAAGGCTGTAATGTAACAAAACATGTAAAAAGTCAAGGGAGTGAATAATTTTGCAAGGCACTGTATTATCGATCTCTGAACCAGATATCAAAGGTAGAAAAAAAAAATTCAATATGAGGAAAGGTCCCATGAGGAGTAAAAAAAAATAAAAAGTAGTCTGTCAAATCTAGATGCTGTACTCTCCAGATATCAATAAGACCATGAGAGTCCAAAACTCCCCTCAGGACCTATCCTGGTCCCTGCACTATGAGACATAATACCCGGAACTAAGCTTTTTTCAGCTGCCGGACACAAGACCACATTGCCGTCTCTTCCTAGAACGAGATTTCATTTATAAAACCCAAACCAGCCATGTAGATATCTCGAATGGTTAGTCTGATGACATTATAGCCTGTTGAAGTTTTATAGGATTATTCACTAAAGTGAGAATTCAAAGTGAATTGCAAATGTAAGGTCAAACCAAACCAGTAACATTTTCTAAATCTGCTTTGCTTTCAGTTTGGTTACTCTGGCCTTAAATTTTAAACTCACTTTGAATTTACACTAAATTCTCACTTGAGTAAATAACCATGTCAGTTTGATTGCCAGTAGTATCCTTTCGTCTTCTGTGATCGTTAAAATGAGTGCTCACAACAGCGTTTTTTCTTGGGGAAGGTGGCTCTCGTATATTGAGATATTTTTGTCAACCATATTAATTTCCTAGCAATATATGTAAATAAATATAAACATGATCTTGTGCATTCTATGTATCTCTCAAATTATCTATAACGTGCTGTTGAACCTGCTCTGTCAGTGTTCTGAGAGGCTTTCTCCACTGTCGCTGTCCAGCATGTGAAGACTTTTCGCATTTCTTGTGACATTTTATATAGTAATGTTACAAAAGGCCTGTCTCTGCAGAGTCCGAGGTGAAATCTTCAAGCTCTGCAGCTCTTTTCAGTGCCTAGCTCTGTCTCGTTCTCCTCGTCTCAGGGGAAATCAATGCTCGCATTAGCCAAAGAAATCGTCCCTTTGGACGAGACACGGAATGACTTTTCAGGAACAGCAACATATTTAGTAAAGATAACGGGACATTCACGCTCACTCACTAAATAATGATTTAGCGAATATATTAATTCAGAGGTCCAAAGAGCAAATGAACCATGAGAAAGCCTATCAATTTCCGTCACAATAGTGAATCTTTTTTTTTTAAACTAAGATTGATAGCAAAGCAGCAATTTGAATCGGTATGAGGTGAAATGATGACCCATTAAGATGTTAAGATAGATCCTGATTTTTATTAAAATCATTTGTGGTTAATCGACCACTCTTACTTATACGCTACTCAATCCTGCTCTGTACAGATATTAATGTCCAGACCCACTGTTACATTGTTTCAGATTTGTTAAGTAGGAGCAACACATGTTAAAACTTGTCAATTTTTAGGTTAATCATTATTGATTTTCTCTCTTGTAACCTGTCACTCTCAAAAAGTCTGCCCCCCCAAATCTTAAAAATATAGCTCCTTCCAACACAAGAAGGCATATCAAACCATAATGAAATGTAAGAAAAAGTGATATAAAACATTAAATTAGTCTTTATATAACTGAAGTGCATATGTAATTTAAATAAATTCATATAGCAGAAATAAACCTCAGAGGTTACATAGATCTGTCTCAGGTAGAGCACAACATTTGTCTAATACATTGTAGACATCTCTGATAACCCATATCGTATAAGAACTAGTTTCAAGTGATACATGTTGCTGTGGTTACCTATATCCTGTTTTAACTATAATTATATCCTTGCATATTCTGTTTATTCAATAATTAAAGCCTTTAAAAATGACCTATAGAATCTGATAAGACAACCTATTTAGGCAGAGAATTCTACATATTTATTGTTCTTACTGTAAATAAACATTTCTTCTGCTGTATGTGAAAACACTTATTTTCAATCTCAATGACCTCTTGCACGTTGTATATTCCTGCTAATGAACAGGTTAGCACATAGTGGTTTGTACTGACACGGTATATATGTGTATAGTGCTAGCATAAAAATGCCTTTTTTTTTCTAAAGAATACAAATAAACATTTTCTAGCTTTTCCTCATAACTAATGTTTTTCATCCCCATTGCTAACTTTGTAGCTTGCCTCTGTACTTTTTCTAGTTCTCCAATATCCTTCTTTAAAATTGGTACCCTGAATTGCACAACATATTTAAAGTGGTGTATTTGGGTATTACAGTTGACTTTTAAAAAGGCAGAATTATATTTTGATCACACGAATCAAAGCCCCATATTTTTTTCAAGAAAACACCTTACTACCTTTTGCAAGGACAGACTAGCATTACATACTGTTGCATAGTTTGTGATCTATAATTGTTCCCAAGTCCTTTTCATTTAATGTTATCCCGAACTCAATCTCATTTAATGTATACGTGACTTGCATGTTCCCGATTCCAAAATGCGATGCATGACTTTACATTTATCTATGTTAAATTTCATATGCCACTTGCCTACCTAATCCCACAATTTATCCAAATGACTCTGTAAAGAAGTTATATTATGTTCAGACTGTATAATCTTACATAGTTGTGACAAATCACTTCCAAATTCCACTTCAAGATAATTTATAAGCTGATTAAAGAGCTGTTGGCCCAGGACAGAACCCAGAGGCACTCCACTTACCACTTTTGTCCAATTGGAAAATGATTTCCTTTCCAACTACTTTCTACACTTGTATCTTTAAGCCAATGTTCTATCCAAGATAAACTGATCATCTCAATAAACTGATTTCAGTTTTAATAGTAACCTTTTGTGTGGAACTGTATTAAATGCCTTGGTAAAATCCTAATCGATCACATATACTGGAACACCCTGAACTATATTTTTGCTAACTTCTTCATAGAGCACATTTAAGTTAGATTGACATGACCTGTCTTTTATAATACTATGCTGATTCCTGCTAATGATTTTATTGTTCAAAATTACCTTTTGAATATAATCCCTTAACAGCCCTTCAAATAATTTCCCAACCACAGATGTCCGTTGCGCAGTTTCCCTGGGGGCCTTCTGTAAGAGAACAGAAAAATATTAGGTATGCATACAACCCAACTTTCCCTGTTTAGGATGGACAGTGCCTATTTTGAGCCCAAATCCCTCTATCCCTCTTTTCAATCCTAATGTCCCTCTTTTCTGTGTCCCTCAACATTGTTATGGTGTCTGAGTGTATAAGAGGGCTCCACAGCAATAATACTCACGGTAATATGTCTTTAAACTACAATAAATGTGTTTAAAAATCAGTCCGTGTAAATAGGATACATTGTGCTTGTATTAAACATTTGAGTTGCATATTTATCAGAATGTCACCTAAACTCTGTCAGAACAACCTGCCCCTTGTCCATTTGCAATGTTGTGAGCTATCGGTCTGATTTGCTGAATTAGTCTGTGAAAGTAAGCTTAGTTTAACAACTTGAAATCCAGAATCAGGCAAAACACATTTTTTTTTTTAAATTTAGTTTTTTGGACACGTCTCTTTTCAGCTATGTTACTATGTGTTGTTTTACTATGGAAACGCTATTTTTATAAACTCTTGGCTTTATGTTTTATAAATGGGAATTAATATAATATCAAAATGTATAATACTACGAGTATGCATGATGGCTGTAGGGCAGAATGTGGTCAATTAGAAATAGAAATACAGATTTTTGTGTGTAGGATGGGTAACCATAAACAAAGATATATCCAGATAGCGTGTTTTATATCTGAAGTGTTGTCCACACAACCCAACGGACAATGTGGATGTTTGATTATGTTAATCTTGCTGAGATTCCAGAGGGTGATATAAGGATAGCAATATCTAACTGTATTCAGGTAGGTCTTGTGTAGCCAAAGGCCAGGAGGGAAAAAGCGAACACAGCACCAAGCAATCATAAGAGTCCCATTGTTAGCTTAGCATCTGATTCAGATTTTATATTTTTGTTGTTTGTTTTTTGTTTTCCTTCTTCCCCGTGCAGTGAATGGCTTTTGTTTGTCTTATCCACAAGACCTGACTAGAGATCTGGAGGACAATGAGAACATGAATGTAGAAATGCTCTGCTAATTTTTTTGTCTCCAGTCTAATCCACCTTGTTATTGGTAGAAATACTAAACTGAAGATCTTCCCTAGTCAAAAAGTATATAGGTTGTTACTTCACTTTATTTTCCATAAAATATCTTTTGAAACCTAGTACCTGAAATTGTGATTCCTTACTTGATACATATTTTTCTGTACTTTTTCCTTTTTAAATCCCTTTTTTATTTTTTTACTTTTGGGTCAGTAGAGGAGGAGTGTAGAGGAAAGAGAATGGATAGGGAGGAGTGAACATCAGACCCTTGGAGATCTCATAGAAAGGTAGTCATGATCATGCATGAGTTATAATTGTAAATA